TTTGAGTAGCAAAGGGCTAGACAATGTTCCCACTTTCTCAGAGGCCTGGGGAAGGCAGTTTCCTTGACTGGTTGCTGGAGACACCCTCAGACTACCCAGAAATGAAAGTAGGAGAAAAGACGAATGACTTAAAAGTCAGAATATGGCACAAAACAAATTGCAAGGTTAAAGAGAACATGAAATAATATGCCATTAATTGTGATAAGTAGACATAGAAAAGCCATTACGTAAGAAGAAGATTGCGAGAAAGCCGACCCTGAGCAGGCCAGCCAGCCTTCCCTTGTCAGGTCGTGTCCTCTGTGGAGATGACACGGGGAGAAACAGGGGCTGTTTCAAGTGGGATAAAATCCTGCTGAGATGTCCTTACACAGCAGTTGCTGTTTACTCAGAGCAAAAACAATTTAAGTCAGGCGATGAGAAGAACGTAGAATTTTGAACCTTCTGGCCCAGGGCTCCTCTAGGGAGAAAAAAACATCCAATTCCTTAAAAATAATTGATTTAAAAAGTGGTAGTGGGTGATACTTTTAGGTATTTACAAAGCTGCCACAAGCATATCACCTTGCCATGAAAGAGTTTTTATTATTTCTCCAAAGAATTAACATAAACTCAAAAGACTGACTTGTGCAGGGTCCCTGGGAGGCTAAGTGGGCTCTGATGGCTTCTGGGCAGGACGCGGTTCTGGGCCTTGGGGACCCTCTCCTCAGATTGCCCCAGACATCATATTCCTAAAACAGGGAGCAGAACCTGTTCACCAATCAAAGATGACTGCATATCCTGGAAGGCTTGGAGGACATGGCTGAAAATGCAACAAAATTACTTCAGCTAGAGAGTATCCTGAAGTTTCCGAGTCACCCCAGAACTCAGAACAAAGTGAAATGACCAGGGTAGAACATGTTTAAAACACACGCACAAAATGACTCTGGATTGTGATAGAATATTCCCTAAGGAGAAAAAAAAGTAGATTGTGACCAAGCTTAATCATGCATCCCTTCCTCTAATTTCCTGTAGTGGAAGTTGAAAGCCAAGAACTGTTGTTGAACTTGGATCCCGAGAATTCAGAGACGAGCCAAACCCTCCCGGACGCACTCCTGCCCTAACCCAGACAGCTCTCCGGGGAGCAGGGCCAAGCCTCTGCCGCCTGGAGTGCCTCTGTGTAGAGATTGGTGCTTTAATCTCCTCTCTGGTCTTTGTTGGCCATGGAAGCACCATCAAATGTTGCTCTGTCTCGTATGTTTGTACTCCGTTATTGCTGCTGTGCATTTTACATGCCATGTTTCCATTCAGATATATTTCACTGAAGATGATTAAACATCATTCATACAAAGAACTGTCTTTACAGATATCCCAAAGTCATCCATTTCAGGTTTCGAGTCATGTCCGTTCCCAAGGAAACTTTCAAAATGCTTTATTCATTCATATTTCTCGGCGAGTTTCCCTTGACTGCCTGTTCTATGTTAGCAGAGAAAGGGTGAGGGTTATGACTTGCCCTGATGTTAAAGAGCCCCCTGCCCCCCAAAACCCAAAGAGCATTGTCCAGCATTTTGTCCATTTTTAATGCATTGTGGGGTGGGATCATCGAGAATTATCACACAATTTACCCTGTTGGTTGCCTCTGCTTAGATACTGGGAAATATGGAACGCCCTCCCATTGACAGCCCTCCCTTCTTCCCTGTGCCTCTAGAGACCAGGCAGAAACGAGCAATTCTCTGGGAGAATTGTCAGGTGTGTGTTTGTGCCTGTGTTTGGTTTTAGCTTTCTCTCCATCCTCTAAATATTTCCTTTAAAAAAAGTACTTAACTTCCTTTGTAAGAATCTAAATATTTCCTTTAAAAAAAGTCCTTAACTTCCTTTGTAAGAAACTCAGTTTCCCCGACCTTCTCATTTCCCTGACTTGTACTTGTCAGCCTGCACAATGGCTCTTAAGAGAATACCTGGTGACCTGTGGCATTCTCTGCTGAGAGAAATCTTAAGAGAATACCTGGTGACCTGTGGCATTCTCTGCTGAGAGAAAACGCACATTTTGCATTCTGGCATCTAAACATAGGGGTAGATTTAAAACCAAAGACATACATGGTTAGGTAATCATCTCCAGTATGGTATCAACATTCCTTCAAAGCAAAACCTCAGTCTCTTATCTTCCATCACGTTGCTGTCATGGGTAAGTTTGCCTTTAGGAATGCAATACTGCATTGTTAAAGGCTTACCTCAAGTCAAATGTTTCTTCTTGAAGACCTTCCACTTTGTGAGATCATTGCTCAGAAGACCCTAATGCTCTAAATAATGACATTTTTTTGGGCTTCAAATTCTGGGTTTAAATTTTTAAATTTTCTCCTTAAATAGTGAGCATGGTTGTGATTTATTCTTTACTACTGTTCAAGCTTTATTTCCTTCGTGGTGGTTCTGTGAAAATAGTATATGGTTATATTCACTTTATCTGGCACTTACGGACCAGAATCTTCCAAATGGTTCTTTGCATATCATAATCAGACATATTGTTATCAAAGTCTCATAGCTAAAACTCCCTTCTTGTCATATGTGTATGACTTATTTTTTGATTTCTCAGTTTAGTACTTCCTGGTTTGGGGTTGCTGTAGTTATTACAGTTATTGAGTAACTGTTCTTTGAGTATAACTTTTCTTGGCAGAAATCAGCCCAGATTTCTTCCTTTGACATAGCTTTGATTTGTGTCTTAGTAACTTTTGTATTTCTAAAATAGTTCAAATAGTCCATTAATTCTACCAAACAACCAATCATCTGATTGAAAAAAATATCTGTCAAACTAGTTATTTGAACCATTAGAGTTGGATTACATTACTGTATACTGTGCAAATTAGGATTATATTACATTGTATACTGTGGATTCCAGGCATATCATATGTCAATCAAATTCTTGTCTCTAGGTTTGATGGATTACCTTATGTATAGTGACCTAAGTCATGTGTTTGAAATGTGGCTGGGATCTATAGGAAAAACAGATGCTATTCCAGTAATATACCTACAAATGTCCAACTTAATATCTGTGATAATGATATAGTATGGAGTTGAAGGGCACTGGGTGGGAAGTAGAAAAGCTGAGATCTGTCCCAGCTCTGTTACAAAATGTCTTCTCTAACACATCTAGGCTTAAGTTTCCTCATCTGTACAATGAGGGGACTGGACTATAGTTTCTGAGGCCTCTTCTAGCTCTGAAAAGTTAACATCTACCAGCAAAGGGAGATGGGTTGTCCCTTCTTGACTTTGGAAAATGGTGTAGAACATTAAAGGACACTTCTTCAGATTTCTATGCCTCTTCTTATCTTTGGTTTTAGGATATAATTGTATTCAATCTTCTGGCAGAAAATACTTTTCCATGAAATGAACTACCTCTTGCCATGAAACGGGGTAAACGAGTAATTGGTGTAATGATACTAACTCATTTAGGTTGCTTTGTTCTTCATTATTTTATTCAATCATTAGCTCATAAGACCTCTAGGGGCCTATGTCCCACCCACACCTAACAGTCCCTCCAGGTTCTGGTTCCAGGAGAGAGCGAGTGTGATCTTCCCCCTGTGACGGAGGTAATCCCTGTGGCCCACGAGGGAGGGGCTGGCCTTGGAACCATTTGCCTGTCAAGTGTACACATCTGGACAATTCTCCTTGGCTGAGCAAACATATTGCTCTCCATTTTTCATTCATATCAGTGAAAAGTGAGAGGCCCTCTAATAAGATATAACTATGCAATAATGTAACAAAATTGGCTAACGGCACTTCATTTATTACAGGGCTAAATGCTCATTATTGTTTGTAAAGAATGAATTTATAACCTCAGCAGAGTTAAGTTTATACATGGTTGATTTCTTACAAAGGTAGAAAGTCCTTGTTTTCTAGTCAAGCTTTGACTTACAAAACTTTCGTTTTCTTTTAGGTTGGTGTGTGTGTGCATTTAAGAGAATGTTGAGCAACTAGATGGGGGAGAAGGGATATAGAATTTGAAATGTGGAACAAGGGAAAGCACATTTCAGAAATTGTAAAAAAAACACACAAAATCCAAAACACTGAGGGGGTGCCATGGAAGGCCTTAACAGAGAAGACCCACACCATAAGCTCCTGCGTTTATGTGCTTCCTGCTGGGGCTAGAAAGACTGGATTTTCCTAAAGGAAGGAGTGTGAATCTGGAAATTCTTAAACTAAAATTGGTATAATTTCATGCTGCAAAGAGGCACTTTGCTTATGCAATTGAAATAAAAAATAAAGTGCCTACCTGGGTGTTTCTAGGGTAATTGTAGGCAAATGAGAGTAATTAGAAGCCTCTGCAGTCTGTAATTAAAAGCTAGGAAGTAACGAGCTCTGTGATAAAAGATCCCTGGATGTTTGGGAGAGTCATACAGAAAGGACACCAATCCTTTTCGGAGGTTTTTACTTCCCTAAGGCCAAAGTCCCCGTTCTATGAACACATTATTTTGAAAAGCAGAGTTTGGTCCTCACAGATCTAGCCCCTAAATACACATTTGGGACAATGAGTGTGGGAAAGAGGGAGAGGCAATGTTTTAGTATCAGTTATACTTGGAAAATGACATTTAAATAGAATGGGGGCTTACATGGGGGCAAGCTGAGAAGTTCAGTTGTCCCCCCTTATCTGTGGGGTACACAGTGGATGCCGGAAACCAAATCCTATATATATATATATGTTATTTTTTTTTTCTATACACACATATCTTTTCACTTAAAGGAAGCACTTTACAGCTTCTCTTTGGCATATCCAAATTGCCAACATCACTACTCTTGCGCTTTGGGGCCATTATTAAGTAAAATAAGGATTACTTGAACACAAGCACTGCTATATCATGGCAGTTGATCTGATAACTGAGATGGGTACTTAAGTGACCAAGGGCAGGTAGCATATACTGTCCAGTGGATACGCTGGTCAAACGGATGATTCATGTTCTGAGTGGGACGGAGTGGATGGTTTGTGATTTTATCACACTACTCAAAACAGCATGAAATTTTAAACTTATGAATTGTTTGTTTCTGGAATTTTCCATTTAATATTTTCAGATAGCAATTAACCATGGTAACTGAAATGGCAGAAAGCGAAACCACAGATGGGGGGTCAACTGTACTTTCAGTTGAAGCAACAGGAAAAATTAAGGCTTTTTTCTTAACTTTTGGGGACCTTTAAATGCTTACTTTTTCATGCCCCATGGCCAGACCCTTTGTTTAGATCAGGTTATTATTGGGCATGGGAGAAAGGGTGAAGGCGAAGGAGGTAAAGGGAATGCAATGGGGAAGGGAGGGAGCAGGAAAGTCCACTTTGCTGAATAAAGTATTTCATATTATAAGTCTGCCATATTCTCCCCCCAATCATTTGATTGAAAAGCAAAAATACTACTTTTAAAAACACAGTTCATTCCTAATTTGCCATGACAATATATAATACAGAAAAAATAAGGCTACCTATCAACATAAGCATTTCCAGGGTGAATCTTTGGCAAAAATGTAACCAGCAACAATTCATTCAACCAGGTTCCAAAATCATGGCCCTGAAATTTCCAAAGTCTTAACTCAGAAAGGTTTTCTTGTATCTTCTTATAGTCAGGCATTCAGAGGTCCAAGTTGGTTCTAAAAGCTTTGGTAGAAACAGGCTGAAGGTAGAAATGAATACAAAATACTTTGTCTTTAGGCTAATTTGGTATGGATTTGTAAGGCCCGGGTACACTGGCAAATTAGTAAATTTCTTAAAATAATACCAGTGACTGTAAGCCACACAGGTAGAATAGCCGATTCAGTAAAAGAGGTTAGTACTGCATTCCCATGTTTTGTAAAAGACATTGAGTAAGGCCACCAGGACAGGAACCAAGCGTCTCTTTTGGTTTTCCCCAACGATTTCCCATCAGCCGCACATTCACGGGAGGGGGAGATGCAGGACAGTCTTTGACTGGGCTGACCCCGCTCTGCGTTCCCTAGGGTGCGCAGGGCGGATGCTGTGGCTGCAGGAGGGCGTGGCAGTGGCTGGCTAGTGGCTGTGCATGGAGGCTCAGGGCGCAGAAGAAGCCCCCGGGTGCAGGGTCCCGCCCTCCTCAGGGTCTTGAGCTTGGTCGCAGAGGCTGGCTGCCCTTCTGGCCCTTAAGTGGGGTGGAGGTGGGTCTCACTCCACCTCAGATAATCGAGCAGCAGCGGTGACACCCGGAGCAGCGTTTCTTTTTCTTGGGGTGGAAAATGGTGAAGATGGCTTCATCAAACACCGCCTTGAGACCTTTCTGAGTCAGGGCCGAGCATTCCAGGTAGCACTGTGCTCCGATCTTAAACACACAAGAGAGAAAGGCATGAGAGGGGAAACAGAAAGGTACCGTGGGGTCAGCCCTCCGCCCAGCCAAGGGCTGTTGCAGCTGGTTCCTCAAACAGCCTGGGCGGTGGTTTGGATGTTTGTTTGTTTGTTAATCCTCACGCGAGGATATGTTTCCATTGATTTTTGGAGAGAGTGGGAGGGGGAGAGACAGAGAGAAACATCTCCGTGAGAGAGACACATCACATTGATTGGTTGCCTCCTGCACACACTCCAACTAGGGAGGGGTTATTAAGCCTGCAACCCACATACATGCCCTTGAACATGCCCTTGACTGGAATCGAACCCTGGACCTTTCAGTCCGCAGGCCAACACTCTATCCACTGAGCCAAACCAGCTAGGGAGGTTGTTTTGTTTTCTTTTGCATTTCACCTGGCCTCTGCTATTTTGATTTTTTGTATGTTTATATTTTTTACTTTCTACCATTAGCAATAAATGGTTATGAATCACTTTTGGTAAGCAATGCATTCTGAAAGTCATCCATAACCATTTATTCCTTGTATAAAGTTATGAAAATAGAGGATTGTATTATGGTCTCAATATATTTTGTGAACAACAGGTGTGAGCATCCTCTCATTTGTACCCCGAATGTATAAATTGGGTACAAGTGATTTATACTTATCGCCTTCTGTACATGGCAAGGCAAAGTGTCAACTTGATTGATAAAACATGAGAAGAGAGTGGGTATATGGTTTTACAGGTCATTCTTGAATACAATGCACTTCTGATAAGGTATCTCTCAGCAAGGTAATATCCGGTTGATATTATTATTTGGTTCTAAGATACTTTAAAAAGCATATTTTTAAGTAGTTAAAAAATCCAAAGCATGAAGAAATAAAAATCATAAAATGCACTTATTGACAGAGACAACCTCCTTGTCAGTAGATAGTCCATGCATATTTACAGATAAAATAGTTTGTGCTTGCTTAGAGCTTTATTTCAAAGCTTTTAATGATTTCACACTATGGTATATTTGATAATCACAAAATCCCTGTGAGAAATATAAAAACTCAGGCCAGAATCATAGATTGTCATTAGAAAAACTGCAAGGCAAAGCAGACCATGTTTTGCCGTCAACTTCATGCGATAATTCATGAGAGGGCGACCTGGAGTTTTAAGTTCTCACAAAGTCAGTATGAGCCAACAGTTTGATGTGGGCCTTTTAATATTAAGGACATATAGAGAAATGCTTCTATAATATGCTTCATATTACAAGAATAACTGAAGAACTAAAGCAGGTTTAGAAGAGGGTAGCTGAATGGTGAGCTCCTAGAAACCAGAGCAGATAAATGACTCAACCAGGGTAGCAAAACCACATGTCTAATAGTGCCAGTAGCTTATGCCAATGAGAAAGCGGGGCTGGTGCCAGGCGATAGGGAGTGGTGGGGACTGTGGCGTGCTGTGACATGCACACCACCTCTAGAGTTGGCGTTATTACCCAGCTTTGGGCAATGTTGCCATGCAGGAATGTTGGTTCACTGTTGCCCAGCTTTGTATTTTTCAAGAGGAGTTGGACATTTGGATTTTTAGTTAATGTTTACCAATTTTCAAAATGCTCTGTGGGCCAAGCAAAACACTGATGTGGGATATCTTTGGCAGCAGCCAGCCAGTTTGTAATGTGTGGACCAAAGAAATTTATGGCTTAGCTTAGAACAGAGTGGGAACAGCTCCAGAAAGTAACATGAATTATTTAAGGACATCGAAATAGAAAGCGAAAGAACTAGATCCAGAATCTGGGTCTCTTTTCTGTGTGTTCTTTGCCTTGTTCCAGGACAGAAACTGTGACCCTTATCACTGAGCCAGAAGCTGGTCAAGTAGACAATCAAAGAAGTGAGGTTGTGCACTCAGTCGAAAGCCCACAGATATAAAACTAAGCATGAAATAAAATTGTTCTGATTGGGCTCAGATATTATGCACTTTTTTTTCGGGTGTAAAGAATGGTTACTGTCTGAGCCAAAGGAGAATACCCAAAGAAAAGATATTGGATCTTGAAGCTCGATTTTATGGCTTTCATTTGACCATGGCTTGACCTTTGAATTAGAACATAACTTTTGTTTTTTAATAATGAAAAACAGTTTCAAGAGAGGGATAAAAGGTAGAGAAATTTTCTTAACAATGCCATGAAATGTCATTTATCACATTTTGGGATTGTGTCCAGTGCTCGATATAAATACCTGTGAAAAGCACACTACCCTAGTGAACGTGTCAACCGAATGACTGCTTGAAGTGCGCTAGCTCTTGTCAGTCATCCTGAAAAAATGCCCAGAAAGTGCCATGGGGCCATTCTCTCTGGAATGCCTCCCCATTAAAGATCACAAGCCTCAGCAGACTCTGGAAATTACAGGAGAGCTGGGCTGAGCTTGGCTCACACATGGGGTTCTGGGCTGTCTGGTCCTACAAGATGGGCCAGGACACTCTCTCCTTCTCCCCCCATGGTGTTGCTGAGTGTGTCACGATTTGCCTTTTGATGGTGCAGGAGGAGCCCAAACTTGTCTTTTCCAATTCAGACATTTCTGAAGATAATGAAATAGTAGATCAAGGAACTACTGTGTCACTGGGTTACTGTAACATTATTTTGTATTCATGTATCCAGGAAGAGTAGCAAGCAGATTATGGGTGTGATTTGGGAACCGTGTGTGAGAAACAGAACCCAGTTATGAGGTGAGTACTGTTAACCACGTATCAAGTGCTCTGAGGGTCAGAGGGAAGAATGCATCCTGGTGCAGGGAAAAGGCACAGCCATGTGATAGGGATTGCTAGCAAACAAACACGCCCCCCCCCCCAACTAAAACAAAGCACACCATTTGCACCCTCAAAGATGCAAATGGAATCTGTCTCAAGGAAATATTGCTTTTCTTTTAAAAAATATTTTTATTGATTTTCAGAGAGAAAGAGAGAGGGAGAAAGAGAAACTTGGATGTGAGAATGAAACACCTGTCAGCTGCCTCCTGCATGACTCCTACTCATGATCAAGCCCACAACCTGGGCATGTGCCCTGACTGGGAATCGAACCAGCAACCTTTTGGTGCATAGGACAATGCCCAACTAACGGGTCACACTGCCCAGGGCAAATATTGCTTCTCTACAGCAGCTATGGCCTCTGCTTCTTGGAGCAAAGTGACCTACACAGACACGTATTTAGAACCAACCTATAAGAGCTCAGGATTTGCAGACCCTTGTTTAGATACACATGCTAGCAATCTGGAACATGCCTCACCAAGAGGATTTCTTTTCAGGAAAATAAAAGAGATTTAGGAATGTAAACTGAGCGAACACTTTTCTAATCAATCTCTCTCTCTCTCTCTCTCTCTCTCTCTCTCTCTCTCTCTCAAAGCTTAATATGCAAATTGTCTCCTTGGGAGTTCAACTGAGAGACGGGGAGTTTGATCACTCGCTATGATGTGCGCTGACCACCAGGGGGCAGTGCAGAATGAAGGAAGGCCTAGGCCAGCAGCCTGCAGCCAGAGAAGGGAGGCCCCAGCTGCCAGCCAGAAGGCCCTGATTGGCCCTGGTCACCGGCCAGGCCTAGGGACCCTACCCGTGCACGAATTTCATGCACCGGGCCTTCAGTAACTTTATAAGCTGGGACATTTATCAGAGGTGTGCAGAACATACAAGTATCTGATAAGAAGAAATTGAAAAGAAACAAACCCACAATGACTAATCAAGCGGAAGAAAACTTAGTCCTCTTTCCAGGCTGTCCTTGCTGAGGTGCGAGAGGGTACAGAATAAGGGTGTGACTGGAAGGAATAGAGGCAAAGAGGTTTTTCCAGCTGTAGACATGTCTGAGATGGCACACAGATTCAATAACAACTATAGTTTGCTGAGCCAGACCCTGTGTTAAATTAGCTAATTTAATCATCCACAAGAACCTTATGAAGTAAATCTATCACCATCCTCATTTGCAGCTCATTTGATGCCCAGAGAGGTTAGGGAACCTTCATCAGCCCTCAAAACTGAGACAATGATGGAGGTTTGAATTTGTTTGTTTCCAGAGCCAGAGTCTTAACCACTCTGCTGGGCTGTGTCTAGCCAGCGTAAAGATGTGGCTGAAAGAGCAAAAGTAATGAACAAATAGAGAAGGAAAAGAAAAGTAAGGCATTTCCTATAAATGGAGAGGAGAGGTTAGTGGAATAAACAGAGTAAGCTGGAATCTAAAAAAACGGCTAATAGCAGGGAGGTTCTTTATTTCTTATTTAAGAATTAGAAATGATACACAGAGAGGGCAACTTGAGAGGCAAGAAACGGAAAAAGAACCGAATGGCTTGTGTGAGAAAATCCATCTCCACAAATCAGTATTATCATCAAATTGCGGAAAGAGGAAAAGCATTCGTAAGCTCAGTGAATCTGCTATTGATTTTTTTAAGACTATACAGAGGAGATTACCAACTCAAGGGCAGATAATGTGAGTGCACTCCTTGAGTCTGTAGGTAATATGGAGTGGTGGGGATTGTGGCAAACTGAAGACTCGCATCTTGTCTAAAACACTGTTTAAAACTTGTAGTTGATCTGAAAATGCTGGCTACTTAGGACAGACCTGATTTTTTTAGAAGCCAGAAATGTGTACATTTATGTAAAGTTTTCAAATTGTTCAACATTGGCCACTAAATCACATTAAAAGTATCTGTGTGGACTGATCAAAAGATTTATAGGTGAAATTTGGCCCATCACTTGCCAATGTGCTCCTTAGGCTTTAAAGCAGTGGTTCTCACCCTTCCTAATGCCGCGACCCTTTAATACAGTTCCTCATGTTGTGGTGACCCACAACCATAAAATTATTTTCGTTGCTACTTCATAACTGTAATTTTCCTACTGTTATGAATCGTAATGTAAATATCTGATATGCAGGATGTATTTTCATTGTTACAAAATGAACATAATTAAAGCATAGTGATTAATCACAAAACAATATATAATTATATATGTGTTTTCCGATGGTCTTAGGCGACCCCTGTG